AGCTGTGCCCCCTGCCGCTCCCCGCAGCACCCGCCTCCACAGACCGACACCTCTCCTAGCTCCGGGAGCCTCAGAAACCAGTACCCAACAGTCAACAGTACCCAAAAGAGGCACAGTCCTGGACTTCATACTAAATGAAACACTCGGACTATATAGTCTGCTTTAAACACCATGCCAGGGGAACTATTGAGTTTTTATATACATGTATATTAGTCTTACAATAATATTTGGCCAGTCAACTGTATCAACTACAGTTGGTTAGTAACCTAATAAAACATCCGGAGTGGCTAATAATTAAATCACACAGTGTTTTAATACCATATGCTGCAAAGAACTACAGGAGACCTTAAAGCAGGGGTTCTCAAACTGGGGGTCAGGACCCTTCAGGGGGTCGTGAGGTTATAATGTGGGGGGTTGCAAGCTGTCAGCCTCCACCCCAAACCCCGATTTGCTTCCAGCATTTATAATGGTGTTAAATATATTTAAAAGCATTTTTAATTTATAAGGGGGGGGGAGGGTTGCACTCAGAGGCTTGCTATGTGAACGGGGTCACCAGTACAAAAGTTTGAGAATCACTGCTTTAAAGAGCCACTTGCAGCTCAAAAGCAACAGAGGGTCCTGTGGCACCTTTGAGACTAACAGAAGTACTTAGTAGTACTACTTCTGTTAGTCTCAAAAGGTGCCACAGGACCCTCTGTTGCTTTTCACAGATTCAGACTAACACGGCTACCCCTCTGATACTTGCAGTTCAGGTGCCCCAGTCGGAGAATCACTGGCCTAGCTGATTCAGTAAGAGCCCCTGGCTTGTTACCAGGCCCCTCCAAAGAACTGTAGGGCCCCACTCCCCACCATTTTACATTATTTACAGGATTACAGACTTTGGGATGGGTGTCCCCTGAGCTCAGGCCCAGGTGCACTTGTCTCTCCCCTTCATTCCCCCTCCCAATCAGACCTGCCTGTTACAAACTATTTGAAACCAGCTCACACCCAGATGGGCAGTATAGCTTCACCCAGCTTCTAGAGAGACAATCCCCATCCCCTCTGGAGACAGAATGGTTTGTACAAGAACAGTCCATGCTTTCCCTCTCCTTGTAGTTACACAAGGTTGGTCCGTGCTGTTCCCTATTCTCATCAGTTGTAGAGTCTAGTCTTCAGCTACCTACCACTTCTCTATATACTGCCTGCTCCTTGAAGAGACTATGCCCACTTGGTCTGCGCTCTGTAGAAATACTGGCTAGTTTTTACACATTTCTGGGTTTAAGAGTACATGGGGCAGGGACCAGGAGAAGGAGATAAGAATCAATCTTAAATTCACCCTAGACTTACTTCACCTTTCAAAGCATCCCACCCTTTCCTAGCCATTACACTATCTGTATCATTAGATTAGTAGGACCTTCCTACAGCTGAACACATCAACAATAAAAGCCAAGGCTTCTGGTACCCACAGACCAGATATTAATGGCTCAGGGACAAGTAACCTCCCCTCTGACCCAGCTCACTTACAAGAGAGCAGTCAGGACAATTATTCCCTGAAATTTCACCCCAGCAGGATACTTTGTGTACACTGACAACTAGAATTCTACAGTGCTGTACAGTCAAATGGGTTTGAGGAAGCTTTAACATAGTAGTCATGAGTGCTATAGTAAGACAAGATGTTTTTCCCATTGCCCTCCCTCTATTTATAGTTCTTGAAGATCAAAGGTAGGGAAAGTTTCTTGATAGAAGCATACCACACTCAACTTCAACACAACTTTCTCAATTCCTGCCCCTGGTATCAGGAACACCAACAAAACTAGTAGTAGTTCTTCTGGTTAGTCCCCAATGGAATTGCAAATGCTTTCTCAACACAATTGCAGCAAGGCCTGGGGCAGAAAAAAACCCAACAACAGTCTCTCCCCTGTGGGAACAGGTTTCCAGGATCAAGTGATTCAGATAGATAGCAACACAGCTGACTATATTCTGAAGTTTTACATATGTTCTTTCCAACACAAAACCAATCCTAATTCTTATTCTAAGCCCCTGAACAACACAAATATTGTATAGGACTCCTCATTGTCCAAGCAGTTTCCTTCACCAAGCCCCTTCCAAGTCAGCAGACTTGCAACTATACCTTAAGAAAAATACATGATAAAATTTAAAATATGACTTATTGATCATTTCCCTGATTCCTATTTCTAAGCTCACATGTAGACAGCTGCTTCTTTCTCGTAAGAGATCTAATAAACTCATCTCTAGCTCCAGAAGTTTATTGTGGCTTCTGAACTCACCTGAATATGGTGAAACCAATTAGCACCTAATCAGGTGTCAGCTATCTTCAATACACATGAACAAGCAGCCAGAGAACCTTATGCAGTCTTAACAGCCCACATCAGGTTGTAACATCAAAAGTATAAAAGAATAGGCACTGACATTGTTCAGTGCTAAAGATTATAATAAATCCTTGTTTTGAGCAAGGAATACAAAACACCAGCTACCTGCACAGCCTCACCACAAAGACCTTTTAGGGCCTCTTCTAGACACAATGTTCCAGGCACGGAGTCAATAGAAGTTAGGAGCCTACATACCTCTGAGGATCTGGGCCAATGGGATAAACAAGACATCTATATCCAAAGCCTCTTGTAGTTTGCTGCAAACTGGATGAACATTCTGCAGCAACGTCCTCAGACTGTGCAGTGCTCTGGCGAAAATTCTTCAAAATTCTGTAGTGGATTAAGATATATTTTAATAATAGAAATTTTTATTTAATTAAATATGAACATGAATAACACAATCTATGCAATTACCTATGTTATTTATTTTGATAATACATTCAGAATATTTTATCCTATCTGTACATGCTGAGTTTTCAATTTAGTGTAATCTTCAGGTTTCAGTTAACACCTGACTGGGATTAATGGAGCATTTCACACCTCTCAGAGCTATTGTTCCAGGCTTTCTGCATTCATGCAGACCATCTCTGCATTGATTCACAGCTGGATCACCTCTTTGAGGTTGTCTCCACAACACTCCATCACTAGGAGTAGAAATTTATATTTGTAATGAAAGCTGAGATTCTGAAGACAGTTATTTAGCAAGGGGAAGAGTCTATGGCTAATTTTGTTGTCATGGAATACAATGGTGTCCCTAGCCTCTGTTTGCCAGAAGCTGGAAATGGGCAACAGGGGATGGATCACTTGATGATTATCTGCTCTGTTCGTTCCCTCTGGGACACCTGGCATTGGCCACTGTGGAAGACAGGATAGTGGGCTAGATAGATCTTTAGT